CCCAGTTAATAAGCTTTAAGATAGATGGACTTCAACTCCCAGAATTCCCCAACCGGCATGCTTTAAGATGGGTGGATTCCAAACCCCAGAATTCTGGGAATTGACGTTCACCCATCTTAAAATTGCCAAGTTTGGGAAACAAAGGTTCTTCAATAAAATGGATGAAAATTGGAGGGACCAGGTGTCAAATCTGCCCTTCGGCCAACCTACCTCCCAGGTAACGACGTAGCAGCAAGGTAGGAGGAAGACGGTGCCATGTTCACCCTCTTCTCAAGTCCCAAAAACAACCTAGAAACCCTCAAGGCAAATGCAGGGCCTGATAAACCAGCCTAACATCTGGTTCTTTCATTGCAGCTTTGAAGTTTCTTTTAATCAATAATCTTCTTCTTTTTTTCATCCACTTTCTGCACAGGAATGAATTTGTGCCAAAAGAGATGCCAAAACGGAGGCATGTGCCAGGTGTGTGTGTGTGTTTTTGTCTAAAAATCTGCCACCTTAGGATAAATGAAAGACGATTATAGTTTTATATGCTGCTTTCCCCCCCCCCTCGTAAAACGGAGCAAAACTCACTTAACACATGTCTCACTTAGCCACAGAAATGTTGGGCTCCGTTGTTGTCGTAAGTCGAGGACTGGGTGTAATCCGTCTCTGCTCGTTGCCCTGACCTCTTTTCGCTCTTTCTCCCACAGATGGAGGCTGATAGGCAGAGCTGCTCGTGCCAACCAGGGTACACGGGTGCCGAGTGCGAGACCGAACAGAGGTCCTGCAGAGATGCCCCCTGCCTGCATGGTGGGCAGTGCCAGCAGGCGGAAAACCAGACCTCCTTCTGCAGGTGCCCTCTGGGCTTTAGCGGCAGGTGGTGTGAGGTAATTTGAGCCCGTTTCTGCAGGGTGCAAACTCCGCCGGGTTCGCATGGCCATGCGCTGGGAGGGTCCTTTATTTTATTTATTTGTGTGCTGCTTGCAAATAACTTAAGTGGACCACATACTTAATAATTCTTCCGCCTTCTATTTTCCCCACGACAACAACCCTGTGAGGTGGGTTGGGCTGACTGGGAGGGGTTAGCCCAAAGTCACCCAACTGGCTTTCATTCTTTAAGGCTAGACTAGAATTCACCGTCTCCTGGTCATTGGCGCAAAGTCACCCAGTCGGCTTTCGTACCTAAGATCGGACTAGAACTCCCAGCCTCCTGGTGATTGGCCCAAAGTCACCCATCCAGCTTTCGTGCCTAAGGCGGGATTAGAACTCTTAATCTCCTGGTGATTGGCCCAAAGTCACCCAGTCAGCTTTCATGCCTAAGGTCGGACTAGAACTCCCAGCCTCCTGGTGATTGGCTTAAAGTCACCCAACTGACTTTCATTCTTAAGGCCAGACTAGAACTCACTGTCTCCTGTTGTGACTGGCCCAAATTTACCCAGCCGGTTTTTGTATCTAAAGCAGGACTAGAACTCCCAAAATCTCCTGGTGATTGGCAGAAACTCACTCAGCCGGCTTTTGTGCCTAAGGCAGGACTAGAACTCACCGTCTCCTGGTTTTGTAGCCTGGTGCCTTCTCCAGTTAGACCCAACTGGCCTTGGTGGCAGCGCTGAATGACTTCTCCCCATGGAGACCAGTGGGACTTCCCCATACTCCATAATGCACAGACGTTTGGAGTGGAGAGGGCGGGAAGAGTAAAACGATGGACACCCCTATTCTGACCCAAACCCCTTTCCAATAAAACAAACACGAACCAAAGGGAACAGAAACCTTTTAATGAGTCTTATGAATCCCCGGTTAAAAGGCTGCTGCAAACTAATTAACTTTGATAAGTACAAACTTCGCCTAAACTGTGCGAGGCTGCCAAGAATCACAGATAAGAAATATGTCACAACACAAGAGTCTTCAAATAGCAACTTAAGATACTGGAATGTCCATGAGGCTGAGTTTCAAAACGTCTTTGCTTCCTGCAAAGAACGTTCACTTCACAGCTGGCTTTTATCTTCTTGAAGTTCTTCGAGTCGCCTGCGCTGCTGCAGCTGCTCTTTCCTGCGAGCAGCCCTGCGCACTTGGCACTTGGCACAGGCTCCTCGGGAACCTCCTCATTGCTGCTGCCGGCCCCCACAATCTCTGAAAGCAGCAGTCCACTCCCTAATGGTCCTGGCCCCTCATCTGAGTGCTCGCTCTCCTCAGCCATCCGCACCTGCTGCCGGCTAACCACAACAACCCCTCACCCCAAACTTTTCGCAGATAAACTCTGACTATCCCCCCCCCCCCCCCCCCTTTCCCCCTGCCCCCCCCCCCCCCTTCGGCTCTCTCCCGCAGGTCTCTGCCAATCCCTGCTTTCCGAATCCTTGCCCCAAAGGCGCCATCTGCCAAGATGGAGGAGGAAGCTACACCTGCCTGTGCCCTGAAGGTGCCACCTGTCAGGCCCTGCAAGACCCCTGCTTGGGTGAGGGGTGCAAAGGTAGGTCCGGGGGGGTGGGGGGAAGGGTCTCCCCAGCCTGAAAGCACTTCGTAGGTGGTTGAAGATTGCAGCTTTGGCAGGGCTGGGCCTTAATGCTGATCTTTTTAAGACGGTGTTTTAAAAGATGAGTGGACTTCAATTCCCAGAATTCTCCAGCTGGCAAAGGGGAATTCTGGGAGTTGAAGTCCACCTATCTTTCCAGGGATTTGCAATCTCCAATGAAAGGCATTTCTCGTGCCAATTTCTGTAATCTCCCCCCCCCCCCAGATTTATTTCAGCAAACCCTGAAAACCTGGCTCTTCTCCCTAATCTTAGATTAGAGCAGGGATCCCCAAACTTGGCCACTTTAAGACTTGTGGACTTCAACTCCCAGAATTCCTCAGCCAGCTATGCCTGCTTTTTTCTCTCTCCTAATCTCCTAAAGTGGAGAGAGATTGCAGAGGGAGGGATCACAAGAGAGTAAGTTCTGCTGGCTGGCTGGAGAATTCTGGGAGTTGAAGTCCACATGTCTTAAAGTGGCCAAGTTTGGGGACCTCTGGATTAGAGGTTTGCTTGTACCCCTTTATGACACGCTAGGTTTTACCATGGCGGCTGCGTTTCCAGTCATAATTTTTTAGGGTAGGGTCTCTTTTTAGTAGCTTGGTGGGACAGGTTGCCCAGAGTCAGGATAGAGTTGGGTAAAATGAAAATTTCTTTTAATGAAAAGAAGGACGAGGGGTGACATGACAGCACTCCTCCAGTCTTCGAGGGGCCGCCCCAAAGAAGAGGGGGTCCACTTGTTCTCCAAAGCACCAGAAAGCGGGACAAGAAACAATGGTTGGAAACTCACCAAGGAGAAAAACAACCTGGAATGGAGGAGAAACTTGCTAACAGGGAGGACAGTTAGCCAGTGGAACAGCCTGCCACTAGAAATCGTGGGCGCTCCATCACTGGAGACTTTTGAGAAGAGGTTGGACAGTCCCTTGTTTGGAATTGTATAGGGTCTCCTGTCTGAGCAGGGGAGGGGGTTGGACTAGATGACCTCCAAGGTCCCTTCCAACTCTATCACTCTGTTTTTCAAATATGGTTCCCTCTAGGAGAGACCAACGTTGGCCTCCTGTCTGCCGTCCTTCTACCAGTTCTCCTCCTCACCGGAGGAGTCCCCGTGTTGGTGTTACTGCTCCTGCTTTGCCTTCAACACCGCTTTCTGCCGAAAGTCCCCGGTCAAACGGAGCCTCCCGCCAACAACAGCCTGCGGCCGGATGCCGTCCATCTCATCCGCAACTTCAACCCCGGGGAGGCCGAGCGAGGGCCCAGTGCGGCTGACGGCATGGCCAAGATGGCGGGGCTGCCCACTGGGGGGCCTCCTTCTCCGGGGCTCTCCAAGGTGGACATCTCCAACCAGGAGAGAGCCAGACTCAACCAGTTGAACGTCGGCCTGGTTTTAGCGAAGCCGCCTCTCTGACAAGAAGGAGATGGCGGAGGAGTGTTGGACACTGTTCTGTCTTAGGCCTCACCCAAAAAGCACTCGGTCAATTCTGAGTCCCGCCCAAAAAACCTCTTCATTTACAAGAATGTGAATTATTTCATTCAGACCCAGCCAACGGCTTGGCCCACAGCCTCGCGAAGGTGGACTAATCTCAGACCTTTATCAATCCTGGAATGCTGCCTGGTAAATAGTTCCACACTCAGTGCTGACAGGGAAGGCTGAGTTTACAGGCAAATCTCCACGAGGCTGGAACAAACAAACGACTGAATGAGCGAGTTGTTTCCTGCAAAAGCCCCCTCCCCTTTTGCTCCTCTTTTAATCCTGATGGGAGGGGCCATTTATCGTCCACCTGCGGCCTTGCTCCCACTTCGACCCTGAGTTCTTAATTGCTCCTTCCTTTTGGCAGCTCTGCTCATGCGCACGCTGGGAACCAGTTCCAGAAGCTCCCCCCGCCTCACTGCTGTCCGAGCCCGACGGCAGCTGATGACTGCCAGCCTGCCCTGGCCCCAACTCTGCCTCTGATGCAGAGCCCTCCTCCGGGCCTTCCTCAGCCTCCAAGACTCACCCAGGTTCCTCCCCAACCTCCTCGCTACTGTCCAACTCTGCTGCCAGCTCCCTCAGCTGCCGGCGGGCCACACCGGTGGTGCTTCTCCTGCAGACCTGATTCCCATCTTCTTTACAGTCCTCTCCGAAAGAGGCCCTGCTCCGAAAATGGGCAGGACCCACCTGCAAGGCTTCCTATGTTCCCAGGCAGATGTACCACTGGTCTAGCTGCCGGGCTCACTGCAGTGAGGGTGGGTCTCTGGGGGGTCTCCGACGGCTGCTCAGACAACAGGACATCCCCAAAGAAGCTGCGTTGGCAAGAGCAAATAATCGTCTCGTCATTTGAACGGGCACACATCTGGCCATCGATGGGGTACAACATCTGGCAAGCTATATTCCCAGGGCTGGGATTCGTCCAGTTCGCACCTATTCGCTAGAACCGGGTGTTAACATTCTCAGCAGTTCGGAGAACCGGTTGTTAGAAGAAATTACTGGCCTAATCCTGTAAGGAAGGCAGGAAGGAAACATTCTGGTGTTGCTTACAGAAACTGACTCTCCGTTAATCCTTATTACATTCTTGGCAGGACTAGACTTCCTGTCTCAGGAACGTCTCTGGAGTTTTTTTTCCCCTCCTTTGCTGGTCCTTTGCTTGCGTGGAGTGACCATTCAAAGTTACAATGGCACTGAAAAAAGTGACTTATGACCGTTTTTCACACTTACGACTGTTGCAGCATCCCCAGTCATGAGAGGCCAGGCGAGGAGAGGCGTGCCTCAATGTGAGTGATATTGAGTTGGCCACGCCCAGCCAATCACATGACCACCAAGCCACGCCTGCCAACTAAGCCACGCCCACAGAACCGGTTGTTTAAAAAATCGAATCCCACCCCTGTATATTCCCCCCCACCCTCCCCTAAGGGGATAACAAGGCAGGGGGCCACTCCCATAACCCTGGATCGCCCCCACTTTACATCCGGTGGCTTCCCATCCCCGTCCCAGCCAGCAACCTCGGGGCTGGGATTTGGAGTGGCTGGGGAGCATGGGGCTTTGTAGTCCAGTCCAGCGAGAGGGTGCTTGGAAGGGGGGTGGGGGGGAGACAGACCCCCCTTTTTTGGCAGGAAGAAACCTCTCGGGCAGATGGGAATGTAACTTGCATTGTAATATACTGTAATATTCTCTCTCTTTTTTTTTTGCCGGTTGTGTTTTGATTCAAATGTCCCGTGTTTGGGTGTAGCAAAAGGATTGTGAGGGAATATTTTATGGCTGCCATTTTGCGCACCACTGCATATTTTGGGGTGTTGCATGGAGCGTTGCCAAAGAGCTGTGTTTGGCACCCCAATTTTGACCTGGGGAGTGGATTATTTGTCATTTTTGGAAACTTCCGTAATGTACTGGGACTAATGGACTAGATGACCTATAAGGTCCCTTCCAACTCTGATTATCTTGTTTTCTGTTAATGTCTCTCAAGCGCGGCCATTTTAAGATGGGTGGACTTCAACACCCAGAATCCCCCAGCCAGCAATCCTAAATCCTAACATGGTTTGTTTTGGCATCAGAGGTTCAGGTCATCCTCGACTTACAAAACAGTTCATTTAGTGCCCGCTGAAAACGGCAAAGGCACGGCAAAAAGCGACTTACGACCGGTTTTCATACTTAACGACCGCTGCAGCATCTCCAACAGTCCCGTGATCAAAATTCAGAGGCTTGGCAATTGACTCGTATTTATGACGGTCTCAGTGTCCCCCCCTTTAGCAACCAGCAAAGTCAACGGGGAAGCCAGATTCGCTTAACAGCCGTGGGACTATCTTAACGACCGCCGGGAGCCACATAACCACGGTGGCAAGAAAGGTCACAAAAGGGCCTCACCGATCAAATGTCTCACTTAGCAGCAGAAATTTTGGGTTTGATTGTGGCCGTAAGTCGAGGACTACCTGTACGGGTATCTTTGCCAAGAGCGAGCCAGCAAGACGTGGCTGGCAGCTCAAACGTCAGCCCAGACCATTTCTAGCTCTGCCTGCTTGGCAGCTGCATTTTATGGGCTCCTTGAGGGCACCCTGGCATCTCGGGACCGGCCGTTCTGGAGAGATTTGAGGCTGGCAGACCGATTCCTGTTGTTCTTCCCAGCCGGCGAAACCTCCGGAGGCTCTTTGGCTCACCTGCTCCTCCCCTCACCTGTTCGGCTCCCTCTTCGCCCACTTCCTTCGCCACCGTGGCTGGTGCCAGCCAAGCCATCACGGAGGGGGGAGAAGACAGGCTGCAGCCTGCCTCGCTCTGCCCCGGGCTCTGAGCTTGTGAGAACACGGGGGAAGAGGAGGTTTGGGGCAGGGGAGGCTGAACGCCTCGTAACCTGTACGGGCAGGTAAGCTGCTCAGCCGGGCACCTCCCTCGCCCCATCGTTACTCGGTGGCTGGGGAGGAAGGGCGGGGGAAGGGGGGGTGATGAAATTGCGCTGGGGGCAGGAATTGGGGTGATGCTTGCCAAGCACCCATTTTGGGAAAGAAGGAAGGAAGCTGGTGGGGCAGGAACCAGCGATTCTCAGGTACGGAGGCCGGTGAGCTCAATAGAGAGACCAGGCGCTCGCCAAATCAAGGAACAGGACAGTGAAGCCCCCCTGGGTTGGAACGATGATCCTAGAGCTGAACTCCGGGGCATCCAACACTTCAACTTCCCAGTGGACAAATCCAGGTGCAAGTGGCTGGAATACAGGTGTGCAGGTATTCTAGCCACACTCGCACAAGTGGGGATGCATCCATGCACTTGCCTGACACTCCTGCAGTCCGGTTCCAAATGGCTCAAGACCGGTGGCCTAGAGGTGGAGCTCTCACCCCACAATCAGGAGGCTGTGAGTTCGATCCTAGGTAGAGACTAATATTTGGGATAGACTCAAGCAGGGGGTTGGACGAGATGACCTCCTTCCAACTCTGTTATTATATGTTCTAGAACAGTGGTCGCCAACCAGTGGGCTGGGGACCACTGGGGGTCCGCAAGAAAGTTTTGGCGGTCCACAGAGAAATGTCCCATTAATTGCCAAAGCAATTAATCCAGGCTGCTGGGAAACACAAGGCTGCGACGCCCACATGGCCCGCCTTGCGTTGCTTGCATTGCGAACAACACGAGGTAGTGAGGGGAGGGGGGAAAGGGAGGAGGGGGAGAACTTGCCCCACTCACCCCACGCGCCTGGCCTGGCCACCGGACTGCTTCTTTCTGCTTCTTCCTTCTTCTTCTGGCTGCCCGCAAGGAAAGCAGCAGAAGACTTTCTTTCTCTCCCACAAACTCCGCCAGAAATGAGTCTTTGGGACCCTGCAAGGCCTCCTCCTCCAAGAGGCTGCGCCGGCAAAGATTCATTTCTGGCGGAGTTTGGGGGAAAGAAAGAAAGACTTCTGCGGCTTCTGCTGCTTTTCTTGCATGAAGCCAAAAGTCTCTCTCCCCCTCCCCACCCCCCGAACAGAGCTGGAGACGGTATCCTGCGATCTCAAATAAAGAACAATCGGTCGGTAGGAAAACGGGGTGGGGAATTTTTCTGCAGACTCTTTTTGGGGATTTTCCCAGGGTCTCTGGTCCACGGGATTTTAAATTATGAGTTTGGTGGTCCCTGAGGTCCAAAAGGTAGGCGACCCCTGCTCTAGAATAGATAATGGCTCGCGACCCGGAGGTTTCGGGTGACCTACTGCTGCCAAAAGCCATTGGAAAATATTTGTGCAACGTTTTGCAAAATAAAGACTCTGAAATAAAATCTCTCTTTATACAATAATAACGCAATAGATGTGTATTAACAGAATTCATGGGTGTGAATTCTGTTTTGCACAAACACATGCACACAAACAACAAAACTCCAGAATGACAGGAGGAACAGAAAAGACGCAGCCCATTAGAGGTCACTAGAGTTTTAACCAGCTTGGCTTGGGCTGCTGGGAGTTGTAGTTCTTAGGAGCAGCTGCTGCTGGTTTTCCTCCACTACTGGCAATTGCAAGAGAGGGAAGGAAGCTGCAATTGACTGCAAAAAGACACACACACACGCACACCACACGTGCCTCCCACTCCCCCTCCTTTCCAGCCCCCCCCCGACAATTGGCTGCCAAACGCACAGAACAACAAAATTCCAGTTTCTCTGGCTCTCACGTCGTAAGTCGAGGATCCCTGGGAGGCTTGGAAGCTCGGCTGCAACTTGACCTTCGTCCGAGGGGCCAGGAAAGGCGTCACAGCAGGGAAACCAGATTGCTGGTCTAGAGGCATCCCTTGGATTTGTTTCTAATCTCAGAGCTGGAGGATTGGGATTCCAATATAGGCCGTCCTCGATTTACAATGACAATTTAGCCCAAAATTTCCGTCGCCAAGCAAGACATTTCTCAAGTGTGCTGTGATGACCCAGGGTGGGATACAAAAGCAACAAAGCCACAAAAACAGGTGAAGCCCCTTTAATTCCTTCAACTTGGCTTCAAAGGTCCAATTATCATTGACTGGAGAAAAAACTCCCCCACAAACAGTTGCGAAAAGGAAGAACTTCCGTTCAAACTCAAAATACATATAAATTATAAATAGAAAAAAAC